CATTTACAGCTTCTATATCCTCCGACAGTTTGCGATATACATGCTCTACACAATGTTCGAGATTGAGTAAAAATAATACAGTTGACATGTTCATGTACATGCAAGTGTCATCTAACGTGAATTTTACAACTTTTTTATTGTACATTCTAACAAGTTCTAAAACTAAATTGTCAATCTGTACCGATGATGATGCGTCTGTTGACTTGAAGAGCTGCTCTATTTCGGCACGTTTCTTGTTAAATTCCATCCACGTTGAATGATTTAACGCCATCTTATTTCCACGATTGTCGCCGAGAATGAATTCCACATAGGATGCATCAGGTACCACGCAGATTCCAACATCCAAGTATTTGTACGCAGTAGATGTCAGGACGAATCTCCTGCTCATGATACGAGGCGTGTAACGAGGTTTATCAGAACTGAAAGAATACATAAAGTAAAATAAATACAAGTAAATCAGGAAAAGTATTAACAAATATACAATAATTTTAGGGTACTTACGCATCATGCTGTTTCTTGCACGAAACAGTTTCATGTCGAGAAACGGATGGCGTATAACTGCTTCGAGGAACATACGGCATGTAACGTCGATTGCTAAAACTGTTTGAAAAATACAATTAAATGTTGAAAAATGTATGCAATATATATGCAATATATAACTTTACGGTACTTACGCGTTACACTGTTTCTTGGACGACATATCCAGAGGAACGAAAATACAGAGAAATCGTTTCATTCTTCTAACACTGTATTGGAAACACCGGAGAAATCGACTCACTTCGACGGCGACGACTGACACTCTGAGGGTGTCTTTACTAGTTGAAAAAAAAGTCCCAGGAAAATTTTTAACTTACCCTACCCTTAACCCTACATCTTCCCCCACCTACTCATATAGAATAAGATAGAATGTGATAGAAAATATATTGTTAGTTACATTAAAAAATATAAATAAAACATTGCTCCAAGAATAAATTATTTTGGTAAATGTGCATAAAAAGACCCCACCTGCCGATGACCTTGACCTTGACATATGTTGTCAAGGTCACCCTCCTGAGTAACTCTTAGAAGTATTTAGCCGGCGGTCGTTATTCGTTAGAAAGTTATTAACAAAACATTGTCGACCAAAGATATGTAATTTTCAGACACAAATATTAAACATTTTGAAATCTTATATCTGTCCTCTCATCTAAGCATGTGCTTTGTAGTACATATACAATTCCATATGGATTTGCGACTTTCCATATGAAGCGATATCCACTCCACACCTCGGACATAGTGGAGCCCCCCCGTAGGGGGGGGGGGCGGAACATACTGTTTCCACGCATGTACCTCCGCCGTTGTACTGTTCCACATGGGTTTGCGACTTTCCACGTGAAGCGAGATCCACTCCACACCTCTGACCTAGTGTGGGTAGGGATATATCTTAACGAAGTGGAGCCCCCCCGCAGGGGAGCGGAACGTACTGTCTCCACGCATGTACTTCGACATTGTACTGTTCCACATGCTGTTCCACATACTGTTCCCTGCGGGGGGGCTCCACTTCGTTAAGATATAACCCTACCCACACTATGTCCGAGGTGTGGAGCGGATCTCGCTTCACGTGGAAAGTCGTTTGCGAGAAAGAAGAGTTATTCGTGGTCTATAGGTAATCGGCGGATATGAACGCGATATCCATGCGAAGCGACACCACCCCACACCGACCCCTGCCTTCAGGGCGAAACTAGATCCACTCGTTCGACTTCCACGCGAAAATGCTAATAAGTTGTTGATAAATTGAAGTCTTTTTGTTAAAGCAGAGAATACTTACATGGGTTAGATAGAAACAGTTGAATACTTTCCAATGCTCAAAATAGCTGCTATATTTTCCTAAGTTTTTTGTTAATAACTTTCTAACGAATAACGACCGCCGGCTAAAAACTTCTAAGAGTTACTCAGGAGGGTGACCTTGACAACATATGTCAAGGTCAAGGTCATCGGCAGGTGGGGTCTTTTTATGCACATTTACTATTATTTTTTCGTCACACTCTTTTCCCCTTATGTGCGCTAATACGATAGAAAATACAGAGAAATCGTTGACATTTTCTAAAATATTTGTTAGTTACATTTTACAAACTGCAATTCTATCTCCAATAGAGTTTCTCCCCCAACCAGTAAAGAATTTTAATCCTCCAGTAATCTGTTTACTCCAGTAAAGAATTTTAATCCTCCACTAATCTGTTTACTCTGTAGAAAATTTGCCACAGCGTCGGGCTCAGTCCCATATCCCCTCCCTTCCCTTACCCATATCTCCGCGCCCGCAACCGAGCCCCCTCACCCCGGACCTCTCCCTCCCCGCACCACGGTTAGGGCCGCCGCGTAGGGCCCCATAGGGTAAGGACCGCCGTATCCCCCTCCCTCGCGGTTAGGACCACCATATCCCTTCCCCTGCGGTTAGGACCGCCGTATCCCCCCCTCCCCCGCGGTTAGGACCGCCCGGTTCCCCCTCCAAAAAGTGAGTTACAATCGGCACAGCTACCCTACTCCTATGCCTCTTTAAAATTCTCTACACAGTAGGCAATCCTGTCAATCTTTCCTGTGGCAATCCTGTCAATCTTTCAATTTGGCGAGTAGAAATATGAGGGTCTAATCCAACTGCAGTGAGCACACGTTGAACTCGGGGTTGTCATTATCGTTATCAGCAGTGCGACATCTTCTGACTCTTTGTCGAATCACTAGTCGTTCTCGCAATTCGATGCGTCTTATTTGTTGACCAGTAGGATGACGTCCGTTGGGAAATTTTTGACAATACAATGCAGCTGCTTGACGATAATTTTGACGAGACTCGCCAAGTGAAAGTAAAATATCTACAACTTCGTTGGAACTGTAATAAGCCATATTTTGGAAAATGTTTTGAAGGAGAAAGAAGAAAAGTTGGAATTGTGAAAGAACTGTGAATTAACGGACTGACTGATCGTCACGAGTACCGACTAGGTCTTGAAAGTCTCTGTTCCACACGTGACATATGTACATACATACAATGTACATTCATCCGTGGATTCAAGAAGAATATTGAGAACCACCGTTAATCCCTTTAAAAGGATCCCTCAGTCTTTGATGGGGTGCACCATCTAAACACGAAACGCAGCATACATACATGAGCACACGGACACACTACTACGATACATCACACCCATGCATAAACGCGAAAATTTTATACTAACTATACTCTTATTTTAAACCCTCTAATCCCAATTTAGAGGGTTTCACAGTAATTCTACATGTCAACGAATCCTAGGAAACTCAGTTTCATGTGAGTACAAGTTGTAGAACTTTTATACGAAGCACAAGTATGACGGAGTGACAGTTCGCGTCTACAAGGTTATCTATCTCTTCTGCAAAAGTATCTTCTCTACAAAAATATCTTTCCTGCGAAAGTATCTTCTTTACAAAAATATCTTTCCTGCAAAAGTATCTTCTTTACAAAAATATTTTTATAAAAATATCTTTCCAAAAATACCTTTTTAAAAATATTGTCTCCACAAAAATCTTCTCTACAAAACTATCTTCTCTACAAAAGTAATGATATCATCAACAAATTACTCCAAATATAACAATGGATATTTATATATGTATAACGCGTATCTTTCTTCTACCATAACCATTCTGTAAATACATCTCATTCGGGCAATAACGTATCGACAGCACCGATGAAAAGAATAGCAACTGTTTAGAAATTTAGAAATTCTGTATCTATTCAGGCGAATTAAGGCCTGTGTCCATGACGCTAGTACTTGGTCCAAGTTCTAGTTTTGAAAAATGCGTAGCCAATCAACTTGCAGCTTTTGTGGAACAGCTATATTGATAGGCTACTATTTCGCGGAATTAGAACTTGGACCAAGTACTAGCATCATGGACACAGGCCTTAATTCGCCTGAATAGATACAGAGTTTCTAAATTTCTAAACAGTTGCTATTCTTTTCATCGGTGCTGTCGATACGTTATTGCCCGAATGAGATGTATTTACAGAATGGTTATGGTAAAAGAAAGATACGCGTTATACATACAGGGTGTATCATTTTATGTGATGCAGCTAAATATCTTTTACAATAAAAGAGATAGGGAAAAATGTTTTAAACAATAGTTTTATGGTTCCAAGGGAGGCAGAAGTTGGCCATGTCAGTTTAATTGTAGGTGACGCCACTATCGAGATTTCTACATGGTGGCCATTTTTGCAAATGGCAACCGATTTTTATGTTCCAGTGAATGTCGTAGGTGACATGGAGATGAATACAACGGTTTTTTATTTTTTGAAATTGGATCATTTTTCACCGAGTTACAGTGTTCCAAAGTTTATAAAATTTAAGTAAAAGGCTTCGACCCCCATACAGTGTGCGTATTTTGTGACTTCAAACTGTCCTTCTCTCTCTCTCCCCCCTCTCTTGCTCATTCTCTACCTCTCTCCTTCTCCCCCCCTCTCTCCTCTTTCTCTCTCTCTCTCTCTCTCTCTCTCTCTCTCTCTCTCTCTCTCTC